GACCAGGGCTGACCCGTGAACTCCGTCCACGACATCTGGGCAAGAATTCTAGGGGGAGCGGCGGGAATGGTGCCGAAAGGCTATCCGCCCCTTCCATAGCAGCGCCCCGAGCTGCACCGGCACGCTCCGTGGCGCCTGCCGGCGCCGCACGACGGGGACGATGACGGCGGCGGCGGCGGCGAGACACAGAACGCTTGCGTGGAGGTAGTTCGGGCGCGCGGCGCCCCTGCGCGATGATCCCACGGTTAGTCACTTAGGGTCTCCTAGGGGCCGTGTGGGGGCCTCTTGGAGCTTTTTGGGGGCTTCGAGGGGGCCTCTGGGGGCCCTCGAGGGCTCTCGTCGGTGCCGTTTGGGCCGTCTCGGAACCGCCCTGGGCCGTTTGAGCGCCTCTTGGGCCGTCTGGGAGCCGTCTTGGACCGTCTTGGCGGCTCTTGGGGATGTCTTGCGTGCCTTCGAGGTCGTGTTGGAGGGCCGTCTTGGGCGCCCATTGGGCCGTCTTCGGGCCGTCTGGGGCCGTCTTTGGGGCTGTCGTGGGTCCAAGAGGGCTCCAAGAGGGCCCCATGAGGGCGGAATCGCGAAATTCGCTACCGACCCACATGCTGGCTACAATGCCATAAAGGCAGACGCCTGGGTGCAATCTCATGGAGAGTATTTCCCTGAGCAACGACAGAGCTCTCTGCCACTGATCGCCTTTCTGGCACGCGCTGATCGTAGCGCTGTAGCTGACTGCTGCTGACCCGTGGCCTACCGGCCACGAAATCTGCCCGAGATGGCATGTTGGGTCAAGGCGCAAATGTTGCCAGAAGGCTTTCACGATAACGTTGGGCCCGAACTTCTCCTCTGCTGCTGCTGCCTGCAGCTGCAGGGTGCTGCTGCCTGCGGCATCGCTGATGGGGCTTGCTGCTGCTGCTGCTGTGTGCTGCCACTGCTGACTGCGGACTGCTGCTGTTCGGTGCTGCTGCGTGAGGCTGCAGGGTGCTGCTTCTCGCTGCTCCTGCCAGCTGACCCTGCTGCTCGTGAGTGGCTCGAGCAGCGAAGGGCAAGGCGCGAAGGCTCCGGGTCGAGGGGGGATTCGAGAGCAGCGAAGAGCGGCCATCGAGGGGCAAGGGGTGAGAAGGGAGGGGTCACGGCCGAGGAGAGAGATAGAGAGAGAGAGAGAGATTGAGAGAGACAGAGACGGGCGAGGAGGGAGGAGCGAGAGCTGGAGAGGCGGGCGCCAGCAACCGAGGAGGGAGCAGGGGAGGAGCGAGGAGGAGCGAGGAGGAGCGAGGAGGAGCGAGGAGGAGCGAGGAGGAGCGAGGGGAGCCAGGAGGGAGCGGCGAGGAGCCAGGAGAGAGCGGCGAGGAGCGAGGAGTGATCGGCGAGGAGCCAGAAGGGAGGCCTGAGAGACGGCCAGCGCATGAGCGTCCCAGTTGCCTCGGCGCGCAGGTGGCCGACCACCTTTTAACATTGTCCCTGGGTCGCTCGTGGGGCTCACTCGGGGCCTTCCCGGGGCATTCTTTGGGGCTTCTTGGGCTCCCTCATGGGGCTCTCCAGCGCCCTCCGGGGGCCATCTCGGGGACTCCATGAGCTGCTGTGGGAGTGTTGGGGCTATCTTGGTGCGGTGTTGGGCCGTGCTCTGCCGTCTTGGGGCTGCCTGGGGGCTGGCCAGGCCTATCTTGGGCCATCCTGGGCTTGTCGTGAGCTCTCCTGGGGGCTCATGCGGGGCTCTTGGGCCCTCTTGAGCTAAGCGTGGGCCAGCTTGGGCCAATCTTGGGCCAATCTCGAGCGTCTGGGGCCCACCTGGGGGCCTGTTGAGCCGACTTGGGGGCCCTTTGGGCCCGTCTTGGGGCTCTCTTGGGGGCCTCTTCGGCCGTCTTGGAGCCGTCTTGGGGACGTCTTGGGCGGTCGTGGATCGTTTGGAAGCCGACAAGGCGAGAACGGCAAAAACCTTGTAAAACAACAGAAGATCTATGTTGTTTCTTGCTCGGGGCCCTCTGGGGAAGCTTCCAGGGAGGTCCCATGGAGCACCTTGGAGACCTCTCCGGGCGTCCTTGGGCGGCCCGGGGCCAGCCTGTGGCGGTTTGGGCTTCATTGATCCTGCGGCATTCTGGCACGCACGACCCCCGTTGAGCCGACTTGGAAGCCCTTTGGGCCGTGTGGGGCAGTCTTGGGCGCAGCTCGGACCGCCTATGGGCCGTCTTGGGCCGTTATTGACCGCTCTTGAAGCTGTAAAGGCGAGAAGGCAAAATTCCTTGAAAAACCATTGAACAATTAAGGATTTTGGCCTCTGGGGGCATGCTTCGGAGGACTGTTGGAGGCTGTTGGCAGCCTCTTGGGGGTGCCTTGGGGCCTTGTGTGGGCGTATGGGGGCCCAGGACTCGGAATGTCAGGGTTGTTTCGCCGTTCTTTGGCCCCCTCTTGGGCCTGGCTTGGGGTCCTCTGGGGTCGTCTTGGGCGCCTCTTGGGCCATCTTGGGGCTCCCTGGCGCGTCTGGGGACGCGCTTGGAGGCCTCTTGGGCCGTCCTGGCGAAATCTTGTGGTTCTCTCCGGCCGTCGTGGAGCGTCGGCTAGCCGAGAAGACGAGAACGCAAAATTCTGTCCAAAACCATTGAGAAATGAAGGTTTGGGGCCTCTGGGGGCGTGCGTCGGGGTACTGTTGGAGGCTCTTGGCGGCCTCTTGGGGGTGCCTTGGGGCCTTGTGTGGGCGTATGGGGGCCCAGGACTCGGAATGTCAGGGTTGTTTCGCCGTTCTTTGGCCCTCTCTTGGGCCTGGCTTGGGGTCCTCTAGGGCCGTCTTGGGCGCCTCGTGGGCCATCTTGGGGCTCCCTGGGCCGTCTGGGGACGCGCTTGGAGTCCTCTTGGGCCGTCCTGGGGAGGTCTTGTGGTTCTCTCCGGCCGTCGTGGAGCGTCGGCTAGCCGAGAAGACGAGAACGCACAATTCTTTCCAAAACCATGGGGCCGCTGGGGACGCGCTTTGGGCGCTTGGAGGCCTATTGTGCCGTCCTGGGGCCGCGCTGGGGACCGCTCCAGGACGGTCTTGTGGGTCTCTTCGGCCGGCTTGGAGCGTCGGCTAGCCGAGAAAGCGAGCAGGCAAAACTCCTTGAAAAACCATGGAAAAAGTAAGGATTCTGGCCTCTGGGGACATGCTTCGGAGGACTGTTGGAGGCTCTTGGAGGCCTCTAGAGCCTTGGTGGGGTCCTCTAGGGGGCCTCTTGGGCTTTGTTGGGGGCCTCAAGGGGGCTTCTTGGACGCTCCTTGGAGCCTCCTGTGGCCACTTCGGCGCGTCTTGGGGGGAGGGATCCGCGTGAGGGGTGTCGAAAAATGGCCCTCCAGGGAGCGCATCGGTGCACGACGTTCTGGCACGCGCTGATGTCCGCCACAGAGAGGAGACTAGGGCTCACCCGTGGACTACGTCCACTACATCTGTTCGAGGTGGCAAACGGTGTCTGGGCAAGCGTGCTTGCTTCTGCCCGGTGCCTTGTGCCTCTTGGGGATCTTTTCTGCCTCTTTGGGGCCTCCGGGGCCGCCTTGGGCGCCTCGTGGGCCGTCTTGGGGCTGCCTGGGGCGGCTCTCGGGCCTCATGGGGCCGCTTTGGGGCCCTCTGGGGCCGTTCTGCGGGCCCCATGGGAGCCCTTTTGGGCCGTCTTGGGCACCTCCTGGCCGTCTTGGGGCCGTCCTGGGGCGTCTTGGGGCTCTCTGGGGGGCCGTGGGGGCAGTCCGCGGGCAAGCTTGGAGGGCAGTGGGGCCGTCGTGGGCGTCGTGGCAACGAGAAGCGCGAGAACGGCAAAAGTGCACGGGGTCCAAAAAAGGGTTGGGACGATTTTCGCTTCGTGGGGCCCTCTTGGAAGCCTTCTTCGAGGCATCTGGGAGCGCCTTGGAGGCCTCTTGGGCGGCCTTGGGGCCCTCCCGAGCGTCTGGAAGCCGTCTTGGGGCCGTCTGAGGCTTTCTTGTGGCCACAGTAGGCCGTCTCGGGGTCACCCTTCGGCCCTCCGGAGGCGTCCTGAGGCGGTGTAGTGTAGACTAGTGCGCGCCCGTGCAGCAAATCCGCAGGTGCCCTCGAAGATCATCAAGAGGGGCTCGAGAGGACCCGAAGACGGCCGCAAGAGGGTCCTGAGAGAGCATCCGGCGGATGCAAAAGAACAGGGGGGGCGCTGTAGCATCTGTTGGGGAGCCTCTGCGGGCTCTCTGGGAGCTCTCTTGGGCCGTCTTGGGAGGCACCTGGGGCTCTTCTGGTCCATCTCTGGGCCATCCTGGATCGTCTTGGGCGCCTCGTGGGCCGTCCTGGGGCCTTCTCTGAGCTGTATTGCAGCACTCTCGGGCCGCCCTGCGGCCTTGCAGGAGGTTCTGGCAGCACCCGGAGAACCCCTCAACATTGCCCCAAGACGGGCTCCAGAGGGCCCGAAGAGGTCCCCAAGAGGGCCCCCAACAGCACCCGACGGATGCTACGACAGGGGGCTGCGTTGTAGCATCCGTTGGGGGGCATCGTCGGGCTCTCTGGGGGCGCTCACAGGACCGTCTTGGGATGCACCTGGGGCTCGAGTGGGGCATCTCTGGGCCATCTTGGGTCGTCTTGGGCGCCTCTTGGGCCACCTTGGGGGTCTCTTGGGTCGTCTTGGGGCTCTCTCGGGCCGCTCTGGGATTCTCTTTGGAGGCCTCTTGGGCCGGCTTGGAGCGATCTGGGGGGCTGCTGGGCCGTCATGGACGGGCCCAAAAGTCGCAAGTGCAGAAAACGACGGAAAAACATACAGACAATATTCAATTGCTGCACTGCGAGACCCTGCTGGGAGCGCTATTGGAGCGATCTGCCCTCTGAGGCCGTCTGGACGCCATCGTGGGCCATATTGAGGCCATCCTCGGCCGTACTGGAGGCATCTTCGGCGAACTTGGAGGCTTCTTGATTGGGCTCGCTGGGGCCGTCTGGAAGGCGCAGGTCCTCCCGGCGCCTCCCATACCCCCCCTGCTTGAGGCTTTGCCACGATTTGCACCTTCCATGCGCTGCTCCCGATATTGTAGGATAGATGGCATTGGGCTCCAGCTTCGCCTCCCACATCTCGCTCAGCAGCGCCAAGGCCCGCTGCCACTGCTCGCCCTTCTCGCACGCGCTGATCCCAGCGCTGTAGCTGATGACGTTGGGCTCCACATTCTCCTCCCACATCTCGCTGAGCAACACCAGTGCCCGCTGCCACTGCATGCCCTTCTCGCACGCGCTGATCTCAGCATTGTAGCTGTTAACATTCGGCTCCAGCTTCGCCTCCCACATCTCGCTCAGTAGCGCCAAGGCCCGTTGCCACTGATCGCCTTTCTCGCACGCGCTGATCCCAGCGCTGTAGCTGACTAGGGTGGTCCCGTGGGCAGATGGATGTGCTGTCCAGGACTCACGGGTGCAGGGGACGGGGTGCAGAAGAAACCTGGCTCGACAAGAGGGTCTTGGGGGCCGGCTTGTGCCCATGTTGGGCCTCCCTGTGGCCGTGCTCGGCCCAATTGGGCCGCGGGAGGAGGAGGAGCAGGACGTGCAGGAGGTGGAGGAGGAGGAGGAGGAGGAGGAGGAGGAGGAGGAGGAGGAAGAGGGAGGATGAGGAGTGGTCCTTCGGGCGAAAATCCTTTGTTCCTTGGAACCCTCACAGGTTTCATTCATGTTCAATTGGTTGTGCGTTTGTTTTTCTATAACAATCACAGGCTTACTTGCTTCTTGGGAGGGCCTGGGAGCCATCTCGCACGTTTCGTATAGCAGTTTGGGACCATCTTGGCCAGTCCAGGGCCGGGAAAGCAAGGAGGCCATCAGCAGTCAAGCCAGAAGGACTCTCTTGACCGTCGTCAGTTCCGTCGTCGGGCCTCCAGGGGAGCAGGTCGGGGTATCGGGCCCGCCTCGGCGGGTGCTGGGACCACGACGAGGCAACCTTAGGAGCATCCCTGCACGCATCTGGGGGCCCCTTGGGCCTCCTAGGACCGTCTGGGGCACTATGGCGACCTTCTTGGGGCAGCCCTGGCTGTATCGGACCGTGTATGGGGTGGTCGAGGGGTGGCCACTGGGGCCAACTTGCGGTTCTGCAGGGGCCGTCCAAGCTTTCTCTGGACCGTGGTGGGGCAGTCAGGGGCGATTTCTAGGCGACATTGGGATTCCAATCAGCTGCCTTGGACGCACACGGGCCCGTCACGAGGAGGATGAGGAGCAGAATGACAAGGAGAAAAGGAGGAGGAGGAGGAGGAGGAACGATCAGATACCTTGATGCTCTCATTAAGGGCCTTTGAGGGCGTCATTGGGGCCTCCACCTTGGCCGTGTTGGGGCCTACTGGGAGTGCATGGTGTGGTCGTTTGAGGCCTTCTGGAACTTCCTGGAGGCTTTGCGGAGACCGTCGACGAGAAGAGGCCGTGAGGGCCCAAGCAATTCAAAGTCCCCTGGAGTTTATGTTCGGTTCGGCTCTTGTGGGGATCTACTGTGGAACCCTTGGAGCCCCCTAGGGAGATCTTCGGGACCTCCATTCTGGCGGCCCTCTGGGATTGTGTTAGGCTAGGGGGGGTCTCTCCACATCCTCTCTTTGACTTATCAGGGCCATCAAGGGGCGCCCTGGGAGTTGGATCAGACAAACCCAGGAGTGCGTAGGCGGGAGAGGGTGCTGCTCCGCGGAATCGCGGAATTCGCTACCGACCTTTCTCGCACCCAAACTGGGCCTGGCATATTTGCTCGGATTAATTACATCATTCCGCTTCAACTGCGCCGCACACCTCCCTTGCCAACGACTTCACCAACATCCTTTGTCCAGCTTGCTCGCACATGCTGGCTACAATGCCATAAAGGCAGAAGCCTGGGTGCAATCTCATGGAGAGTATTTCCCTGAGCAACGACAGAGCTCTCTGCCACTGATCGCCTTTCTGGCACGCGCTGATCGTAGCGCTGTAGCTGACTGCTGCTGACCCGTGGCCTACCGGCCACGAAATCTGCCCGAGATGGCATGTTGGGTCAAGGCGCAAATGTTGCCAGAAGGCTTTCACGATAACGTTGGGCCCGAACTTCTCCTCTGCTGCTGCTGCCTGCAGCTGCAGGGTGCTGCTGCCTGCGGCATCGCTGATGGGGCTTGCTGCTGCTGCTGTGTGCTGCCACTGCTGACTGCGGACTGCTGCTGTTCGGTGCTGCTGCGTGAGGCTGCAGGGTGCTGCTTCTCGCTGCTCCTGCCAGCTGACCCTGCTGCTCGTGAGTGGTTCGAGCAGAGACGGGCAAGGCGCGAAGGCTCCGGGTCGAGGGGGAATTCGAGAGCAGCGAAGAGCGGCCATCGAGGGGCAAGGGGTGAGAAGGGAGGGGTCACGGCCGAGGAGAGAGAGAGAGAGAGAGAGACAGAGACGGGCGAGGAGGGAGGAGCGAGAGCTGGAGAGGCGGGCGCCAGCAACCGAGGAGGGAGCAGGGGAGGAGCGAGGAGGAGCGAGGAGGAGCGAGGAGGAGCGAAGGGAGCCAGGAGGGAGCGGCGAGGAGCCAGGAGAGAGCGGCGAGGAGCGAGGAGTGATCGGCGAGGAGCCAGAAGGGAGGCCTGAGAGACGGCCAGCGCACGAGCGTCCCAGTTGCCTCGGCGCGCAGGTGGCCGACCACCTTTTAACATTGTCCCTGGGTCGCTCGTGGGGCTCACTCGGGGCCTTCCCGGGGCATTCTTTGGGGCTTCTTGGGCTCCCTCACGGGGCTCTCCAGCGCCCTCCGGGGGCCATCTCGGGGACTCCATGAGCTGCTGTGGGAGTGTTGGGGCTATCTTGGTGCGGTGCTGGGCCGTGCTCTGCCGTCTTGGGGCTGCCTGGGGGCTGGCCAGGCCTATCTTGGGCCATCCTGGGCTTGTCGTGAGCTCTCCTGGGGGCTCATGCGGGGCTCTTGGGCCCTCTTGAGCTGAGCCAGGGCCCTGGCGCAGCCACGTGGAGCCGATGGACACGAGCGAAGCAGCGAAAGGGAATGTGGCGGTGGCCCGCGGCGCACCCACCGTAGAGCCTATATTCGGGGCCGCGGCGGCCTCATCTTGGAGCTCCTTGGGGCCTCTGACCCCGCAGTGCCGTGGAGCTGCTCCGTTGCGCTTCTCTGCGCGCCTCAACTTTCGAAGGCATCGTTCCTGGACGGGCTGGTGGGGACAAGTACGCGAGGCGTGGACATTTGGACATCGAGCGTCCCTGTATTTTCCGGTATTATTCTGGGGGCGCCTTTTCGAAGGAATTATTCTAAGTTTCGGAGCTGGTCAGTTGCATTTCTCTGATCACCTCCGCTCTCCAAGGTATCGTTTCCGGATGGGCTGGTGGAGATACGCGCAACGTGAACATTTGGTCATCTAGCGTCCTCTGATTTTCCAGGATGTTTCCAGGGAAGCTTCTGTGAAGCCCCATCACCCTTGGAGCCGTTCGTGTGCGTTTCTCTGATCACCTCAACTTTCGAAAACATCGTTCTTGGATGGACTGGCGGAGATACGCGAAAAACGTGAACATGTGATCATCTAGCGTCCCGAGGTTTTCCGGGATTTTCTTGGTACTCTTTTTCGAGCCCCCATCGCCCTTGGAACCGTTCGTTCGCAGTTCTCTGATCACCTCAACTCTCGAAAGCATTGTTCCTGGATGGGCTGACGGAGATACGCGAAGCGTGAACATGTGGTTATTTGGAGCCCAAGATTCTCGCGATTTTTTCAGGGGACGCTTTTTCGAGCCCCCATCGCCCTTGGAACCGTTCGTTCGTGCTCCTCTGATCACCTCAAAGTTCAAAGTCATCGTTCCTGGATGGGCTGGTGAGTACGCGAGGCGTGAATATTCGATCATCTAGCGTCCCCAAGTTTCCTGAGATTTTTCTGGGGCGCTCTGTGGCACCCCCATCACCCTTGGAGCCGCTCATTTGCATTTCTCTTAACACCTTAACTCTCGAAAGCATCATTCCTGGATGGGCTGATGGAGATACGCGAAGCGTGAGCATCTGATCATTTAGCGTCCTCAGATTTTCTGGGATTTTTCCGGGTACACTTTTTCGAGCCCCCATCGGCCTGGGAACCATTCGTTCGCGTTTCTCTGATCACTGCAACTTTCGATGGCATCGTTCCTGGATGGGCTGGTTCGGAAACGGAAAGCGTGAAAGTTTGATCATCCAGCGCCAGCGTCCCCAGTTGTTACGTTTTTTTTCTTGGGACGCATTTTGGCACACCCATCGCTCGTGGAGCCGTTCATCTGCGTTTCCCTTATCACCTTAACTCTCGAAGGTATATTTCTGGACAGGTTGATGGGATACGCGAAGCGTGAACATGTGGTCACCGAGCATCCACAAATGTTCCATGTTTTTCTTCGTGACGCTGTTTGGAAGCCCCATCGCCCTTGGTGCCGTTCAACCAAACTTCTCTGACCGGCTCAACTCTCGAAAACATGATTTTTAGCTAGGCAGATGGGGATACGCCTGGCGCCACCGCTCAGATTTCCCAGGATTTTTCTGGTGACGTTTTTTACTGGCCCGTCAGCGTTCGAATGGGTCGAAGAGGCCCTTGGCCACCTCGTCCTTCTCATCTGCCTCATCATTATTCTCCTCTGTCCTCCTCCATTTCCTCCACCCCGCTCATCCTCATTCGAAAAATGACGGATGCCCTCCTTGTTCCTACTTCATGTGTCTGATCACCTCAACTCTCGAAGGCGTAGTTTCTGGATGGGCTTGTTGGGATGCGCAAAGCGTGAGCATGTGGTCACCCAGCGTCCCAATCGAGGACTTTTGCACGGGCGCTTCTTCCTGGCCCGCCGGCGCTCGAGTTGGTCAATTTGCTGCCCAAGATATTCGGGAATTGTTTGTGGAGATGCTTTGAACTTCCCCATCGTCCTTTGAGTGGGCCAGTTGCGACTAAGTTTTCTGGATATATCTGGGGGCGCGTGTTTACTGCTTCCAGAGCGACCAACTGTCTGGATTCTCCTTGAGAGACGCGACGGGCAGTCCTCCGAGCAAGGCCCTGTTGTTGACCAAGGTCTAACCTGGCAGACATAAATGAAAAATGGACGCCCACGCCTTCATGGACGCCAAGAGATCGCTCTTCGCCCCCCACCGACGACCGCCAGCTGGGGCCTCCCTTGAGGGTCTGGGGCTCTCTCGGGGACAGTTGGGGTTCGAGAGACGGCGAAAGGGTGCCGTGGCTCGAGGCACTCTCCACGGCAGCTCCTGGGGAACCGTCGGAGTCTCTTTGGAGACTCTGGGACATCTGGGGGTGGTCATTGGAGGGTTCTTGGCCCATTGGGGGCTGCGGGAAGGGCGTCATCTGGGCTCCCTTCGGCCAGCCCTCGTTGGGGTCTCTCCGGAGCTTCTCGGGGCCCTCCTGGTCTATCTCGAGGCTGTCTTGGACTGTCTCGGGGGCCTCTTGGGCCGTCCTGGGGCCATGTAGGGGGTCTCGGGCCGTCTTGGAGCTCGCTTTGGTGCCTGTTGGGCAGCTCCTAGGGCCCTCTCGGGGATGTCTTGGGGGCCACCAGGACTCTATGAGGCTGTCTTGGACTTCTCCTGGGCAATCTTCGAGCTCTCTGGGGCCGTCTTAGGGCGATATGGGATGGCCATGGAGCCGTCTGGGACCAACGGAAAACTTATGATTTGGGCCTCGGGGGACCGTCGTCGGGGTCCAGTTCAGCCGTTTTCCGAGGCCTCTGGCCCGTCGTCGGGCTGTCTTGGGCCGTCATGGGGCTCTGGTCGGGTCCTCTTGGGCCGTCCCCGCGCGCTCGAGCTTCGCAGAGCTGTCTTGGGGGCTGTCAGAGGCCGTCCTGGGGGGCCACCGAGGGGGTCCCTGGCGCCGTCGGCGAGCGCTGGAGCGCCTCGGGCGCTCGGGGGCAGCTCGTTCACTGCAGCCCTTGCTCGCACGCGCAGCGCCCAGACTTGTGGTACAGATGACGTTGGGCTCCAGCGTCGCCTCCCACATCTCGCTCAGCAGCGCCAGGGCCCGCTGCCACTGCTCCCCGTTCTCGCACGCGCTGATCCCCGCGCTGTAGCTGATTGGAGTAAACCCGTTGACTAAATCCACGGTGTGCTGAACCTGGGACTGGCACACCGTAGGTGAGCAGCTCGTCGAAGTTGAGCAGCTCGAGCGTCCCTGGGGCCGTGTCGGGGGCATGTTGGGCCCTCCTGCGAGCCTGTCTGGGGCGTCTTGAAGGCCTCTTGCGGCTTGGGGCCCCCTCTTGGGCCGTTCCTGGGCTGTCCCCCAGAGCCTCACAGCCCGGAAAACTTTCTGCGCGTGCGTGCTGTGAGGTTGCCGTCAGAAGGTCCCCCCTGCCACCCCTGAGGTTAACTGTAGGCTTTGCTGCAGGCTCCAGGAGTCAGGGCTGGAGGCTGCCTTCGAATATCCTGGGGGGGGGGTCTGCGCCATCTCGGAAGTGGTCCAGGGAGGGATCTCGTGGTATTGGGGCTGTCTTGGGGGCCACCGAGGGCTCTTCTCGGCCGCACTGGGGGGGAGCGAGACGCTGGTCCCCGCAGAGTCTGCAGGTCCCCCCCCCTGTCACCCCTAATCGACAGTAGAGGGGGAGCGACCGAAGTGTCTGCAGGCCCCCCCGTGCCACCCCTCAAAGGCGAAGTGGAGGCCCCAGAGCGGCCGGAGCCTCGATGAGAGGAGGAGGAAGAGATCAGAGGAGAAGGTCCCCCTTGTCACCCCTAACTTAATCGGCCCCAGGGGGAGGTATGGAGGGCGACTCTGGGTCATCTCGGAGAAGTCCTGGGGTCGCTCTTGGGAGCTCCGTGGGAATTCTCTTCCTGGGACCGCTCTTGTGAGCTTCGTAGGAACTGTCGGAGTCTCTTGGCAAGCGTCGGAGTCTTGTGGGCGACCCTGGGCATCTCGGAGTGGCCCTGCGACCGCTCGCTCTTGGGAGCTCTGCGGGGATTATCGAAGTCTCTTGAGAGGCTCTGGGGCATCTCGGAGTGGTCTGGGGCCTGCCTTGGGGGTCTGGGGCTCTCTCGGGGGCAGTTGGGGCTCGACAAACGGCGAAAGTGTGCCGTGGATCGAGCCACTCTCCATGGGAGCTCCTGGGGAACCATCTGGGACATGTGGGAGTGGTTCTTGGAAGGTTCTTGGCCCACTTGGGGCTGCGGAGCAGGGCGTCGTCTGGGCTCCCTCCGGCCCCTCTTCGAGCCCTCGTGGGGGTCTCTCCTCTGGAGCCTCTCGGGGCCCTCTTGGCCCATTTCGGGGCTTCCTTAGGCCGTCTCGGGGGCCTCTTGGGCCGTCCTGGGGCCATGTAGGGGGTATCGGGCCGTCTTGGAGCTCGCCTTGGTGCCTGTTGGGCAGCTCCTAAGGCCCTCTCGGGGCTGTCTTGGAGGCCGTCAGATGCCGTTTCGCACGCACAACGCCCAGAAGTGTAGTACAGATGACTGTGGGCTCCAGCTTCGCCACCCGCATGTCGCTCAGCAGCGCCAGCGCCCGCTGCCACTGCTCGCCCTTCCCGCACGCGCTGATCCCAGCATTGTAGCTGACTTGGGCTGACCCGTGGACTACGTCCACTTGAAGGGTGAAAAAGCGTGTGGGGGCCTCGGGGGGTGTCAGTACAGCGTCGGGCTTGACCCTTGCATTCGGCGCATGCCACGCGTGCTGCTGCTTGCAGCCACCGTTGCATGTTGTTGGTAGGTTGCCGTTGCTGCGTGTCGTTGTTCCTTGTAGCTGAAGGATGCTGCTCACGGCCACGTCTGAGTGGTGCGTGCTGCTAACCGCTACCTGCTGCTGTTGCTGCTTGCTGGTGCTGTGCGCTGGACCAGAGTTGCCTGTTTCGTGCTTCGTGCTGCTGCCGTCCAGTGATGGGGGCGTTTTGGATCGCCCCAGGATGATCGTGAGCCACCCTGAAGCTATATCAGGGCGGCCAAAGCTGGAAAGTGGGAAACAACAGTGGGCCTTCTTTCCTAACGATGTTCCATGGTGGCTGTGGCCGCCATGGAAGAGGAGGAGGAGGAGGAGGAGGAGGAGGAGGAGGAGGAGGAGGAGGAGGAGAAGGAGGAGGAGGAGAGGAGGAGGAGGAGAGGAGCAGGAGGAGGGAGGAGAGGAGGAGGAGGAGGAGGAGGAGGAGGAGGAGGAGGAGGAGGGAGGAGGAGGAGGAGGAGGGAGGAGGGAGGGAGGGAGGAGGAGGAGGAGGAGGAGGAGGAGGAGGAGGAGGAGGAGGAGGAGGAGGAGGGAGGAGGAGGAGGAGGAGGAGGAGGAGGAGGAGGAGGAGGAGGAGGAGGAGAAGGAGGAGGAGGAGGAGGAGAAGGAGGATACGCGCGGGCACTGCGGAGCATGCCCCTCAATAGCCAGCCTGCCCAGCGCACTCTCAGGAAATAACTCCCGGACGAGTCGCCCCTTCAAACGGGAGCCTTTGCAGCGGAGGGGAGAAAAAACAAACGCATGGGCGCCTTACTCCTCCTCCTCCTCCTCCTCCTCCTCCTCTCCTCCTCCTCCTCCTCCTCCTCCTCCTCCTCCTCCTCCTCCTCTCCTCCTCCTTCCCAGGTGGACGGCGCGGTCCCGGAGCTCTCTGATGGACCTTCCCTGAGAAGCCTCTTGGAGACGGTTTTGGGGGGTGTCTTGCGGCCTCCTCCTCCTCCTCCTCCTCCTCCTCCTCCTCCTCCTCCTCCTCCTTCTCCTCCTCGCCTCTTAGGGGGCCATCTGGGGTGTCAGGGGGGCTTCTTGGGGGACAGCTGGCTGTTCCGGGGATCATCCTGGAGCGAAGGGCGCGAAATGTCACTTCGAGTTCCCCCACGAGGCCCTCGTGGGGCCGTCTTGGGCCGTCTCGGGGACCTCTTGGGCTGTCTGCGAGGTCTCTCGGGGGCCTCTTGGGCCATCTCGGCGCGATCGTGGGGGCCCTGGGGCTGGCTTGGGGCGTCGCGACCCCGAAAAGGTGAGAACACTGAAACCCTCCGAGAACCATCGGAAATCTATGAGTTTGGCCTCTCGGGGCCCTCCTTGGGGCCTCTCTTGGGGCCCTCTTTGAACGTCTTCCGGCACTGTGGTGGGGCCTTTTGGGGCATCTGGGTGGCCTCTTGGGGGCCACCCAGCGGTTCCGGGGATCAGCGGGGAACGCGAAATGTCACTTCGAGTTCCCCCTCACGGAACCTTCTTGGGGCAGTCTTGTGCAGTCTTGGGGGCCTCTTGGACCGTCATCGGGCCATCTGGGGCTGTCTGGGAGCTCTCTGGGGAGCCTCTTGGGCCATCTCGGCGCGATCTTGGGAGCCCCGGGGTCGGGTCGGAGCGTCGAGACTCCGAAGAGGCGAGAACGCTGAACCCCTGCAAAAACCAAAGGACCTCAATGAGGTTGACCTCTCGGGCCCGTCTTGGGGGCCTCTTCGAGCCCTCTTAGGCCGCCGCCTTCTGGCGCGTCGGGGCGCTGTCTGGGATCATCCTGGAGCGGAGGGCGCGAAATGTTACCTCGAGTCCCCCCTCGTCGGGCCCTCTTGGGGCCGTCTTGGGGGCCTCTTGGGCCGTCTTGGGGCCCTCTTGGGCTGCCTGGAAGCTCTCTTGGGGGCCTCTTGGGCCATCTTGGCGCGATATTGGGGGCCCTGGGGCCGGCTTGGAGCGTGGAGACTCCGAAAAGGCAAGAACGCTGAAACCTTCCAACAACCGAAGACAAATCAATGATTTTGGCCTCTCGGGGTCCTTCTTGGAGGCCTCTTGGTGCCGTCTTCCGGTATTGTGGGGCCGTCTAAAAGCCGCATTGGCGACCTCTGACCGTCTGGGGCGTCTCGGGACATCTTGGGCCGTCTTGGAGCCCTCAGAAGCCGTCCTGGAGACCCCCAGGGCTGGCCGGGGCCGGTTTTGGTTCCTTGGGTCCCCCCCACCCTTCCGGCACGCGCGGCCCCCGGCACTGCAGTGTGGACTAGGGACTGCTGGGGCTGACAATTGGACCACGTCTACGACATCTGCTCGAGGTGGCGAGCGGCGTCTGGGTCTGGGCAAGCGTGCCTGCTCCTGCTCTGGTGTCTTTTACGGCCGCTCGAGTGGCTCTTGGGAATGCTTTCGGCCTCTCGGGGGCCTCTGGGGCCGCCTTGGGCGCCTCGTGGGCCCTCTTGGGGCTGCCTCGGGCGGCTCTCGGGCCGTCTTGGGGCCGCTTTGAGCCACCTTGGGCCGTTCTTCGGGCCCCCCCTGGACTCCTTGTGGGCCGTCTTGGGCACCTCCTGGGCCGTCCTGGAGCCGTCCTGGGGGGAGTCTCGGGGCCCTCAGGGGGGGGCCTTGGGGGCCGTGTTCGGGCAAGCTTCGAAACTATAGCAGGGCGGCTGTGGGCGTGGAGACGAGAAACGCGAGAATGCTAAACATTTACGTTTCGGAAGGGCTGGGAAGTTATGTGCTTCTCGGGGTCCTCTTGGAAACCTTCTTCGAGGTATCTTGGGCGGCCTTAGGGCCCTCCCGAGCGTCTGGATGCCGTCTGGGGGCAGTATGAAACCTTCTCGGGCCCACCGTACGCTGTCCCGGTGTCACCCTGCGGCCCTCCAGAAGCGTCCTGGGGCGTCCTGGGTGCTGCCCGAATGCGCGCCCGAGCCGGCCGGCACAATTTTGAACCATTCTGCATGGGTCCCCCGCCCTTCCCGCACGCGACGCCGCTGGTGCTGTCTGAGGGAGTTCCTATGGAACTCACGTCGTCCTCGCCCCCAGCGCGCGAGAAAGTAGCCTCCCGGCGCACCCCCGGGGCCCACTTCCAAGGATGCGCTGGGCGCGCTGGGCGTGTCCCAGCTGGGCGCCCTCGCTCGAGACATCGTCGCAAGAATCGCCCCACGGTCCTCCAGTGCGCCCCCAGGGACCATTTCCTGGGATGCACCGCGCGCGGCGAGCGCACTGGGCGTCCCCGTCTGGCGCTCTCTCGCTCGAAACATCCTCGCAAAAGTCGCTCTACACAGGCCCCCTATAGCGCGTCCCCGAGTACTATCTTCAGGGGATCCTCGCAACAATCTCGCTCCACGGGCCCCCACCCTGGCCTGCCTCCAGCCCCCACGAGCGCCCGGCGCACCCCCTGGAACCCTTTCTGGGGATGCGCCGGGCGCGCCAGGAGCACCAGGCTTGTCCCCTTCCGGCGCCCTCGCTCGAGACATCCTCGCAAGGATCGCCCCACTCGGGGGCGGCAAAGAGGGGGGCGTCAAAGAGGGGGGGGGCCCAAATCATGGCCGGCGGCACGTATTGAAATAGGAAGAGGCGCCATGAAATCTGGGGAAAGATCATGGCCCACGCCATGATATCCCCCCCCCTAGTCATCACCCCCCTCTTTTCCGCCCCCGAAAGGATCGCCCCACGGGCCCGCGGCGCACCGGGACCATTCCCAGGGATGCCCGGGGCACGCTGGGCGCAGTGGGCGTGTCCCTATCTGGCGTTCCGCTCGAAACACCTCTGCACCATCGCCCCACGGGTCCCTGCCGCGCCCCCCGGAAGAAGGAGGAGGAGGAGGAGGAGGAGGAGGAGGAGGAGGACGACGACACGAGGACTAGCACGAGGACGAGGACGAGGACGAGGAGGAGGAGGAGGAGGAGGAGGAGGAGGAGGAGGATGAGGAGAGGAGAGGAGAAGGAGGATGAGGAAGAGGAGGACGAGGAGGAGGAGGAGGAGGAGGAGGAGGAAGAGGAGGAAGAGGAGGAGGAGCAGGGAGGAAGACAAAGGAGGACGGAGGAGGGATGGGAGGAGGAAGGAGGGAGGAGAAGCAGGAGGAGGAGGAGGAGGAGGAGGAAGATGAGAAAGCGAGAATCGAGAATGTGGATGGTAGCATGGAGGAGAAGCAAGAAGAGGAGGAGGAGGAGGAGGAGGAGGAGGAGAAGGGGGGAAAAGGGAGGAGAAGGGAGGACCTCCAGGGACGGTCCTGATCCTCACCCTTCTCATGCTCATTCTCATTATCCTGATCCTCTCTCATGCACACTCTGCCGATCCTTCCTCTGCTGATCCTCCCTTTCCAGCTCCATACTCGCCCGATCCTCACCCTGATGATCTTCATTCTCCTCATCCTCGCTTCTGACCCTCATCCTCCATATTCTCACCTTCCTGCTCCACGCTCGCCTGATCCTCACCCGCGTGACCCTCACTCTCCTGATCCCCCCCTCGCGAGCCTCACCCTCCTGATCCTCACCCTCATCATCCCCACCCGCCGCACCACCGCTTCCCGCTCATTCACCTCTCGCCCACAAGCACACGCTCCTTCTTCTATATACAAAAACTCCAGATCAACCGCAGAGCGGCCGGCTAGTAGTGCAGACCCATGCATCCGTGGAGCAAATCCGCATGTGCCCTGGCAGGCGAACGCGGCGGGGCCATCTCTAGGTCACCTTGGGTCGTCTTGGGCGCCTCTTGGGCCGTTGGGGCCTGTCCTGAGCTGTCTTGCAGCTCTCTTGGGCTGTCTTTCTTGCAGCCTTGCAGGAGGTTTGGGGGCATCCGGAGGACCTCGAACATTGCCCCAAGACGGGCCACAGGGCCCGAAAACAGCCCCAAAATGGCCATCAGAAAGCACCGGATGGATGCTACAACAGGGGAATACGTTGTAGCGTCCGTTGGGGGGCCTCTTCGGGCTCTCTGGGAGCGCTCTTGGGGCCGTCTTGGGATACACCTGGGGCTCTAGTGGGGCATCTCTGGGCCATCTTGCGTCGTGTTGGGAGCCTCCTGGGCCGTCTGGGGCCGTCTTGGGGACCTGTTGGGTCGTCTTGACCGTCTTGAGGCTCTCTCGAGCTGCCTTGGGGATTCTCTGTGGAAACCTCTTGGGCTGGCTTGGGGCCTATCTGGGGGGGCTGCTGGGTCGTCGTGCACTCTGCAAGGGCCCCCAAAATTGCGCATGCAGAACATGTCGGAGCAACCTGCAGAAAGGCGTCAGCTGTTGCACGGGGAGGCCCTGCTGGGAGGGCTCTTGGAGCGCTCTGCGGGCCTTTGGGACACCTTTTTGGCCGTCTGGAGGCCGTCTTGGGCTGTCCTGGGGCCCTCTGAGGCCGCCTGGACGCCATCGTGGGCCATCTTGGGGCCATCCCCGGCCACGCTGGAGGCATCTGCGACGAACTTGGGAGGCCTGGCCTCTTGGACTCGCTCGGGGCTGTCTGCCGTCTGCGCGGCGCACGCCCCCCCGGTGGACCCTCCCGGCGCGCCCCCCCCCCCCCGGAGTTGCCACGACTGGCACCCTCCACGCGCTGCCTCTGGTATTGTGGGGCAGGTGTGAGTGATGGCGTCGGGATCCAGCTTCACCTCCCACATCTCGCTCAGCAGCGCCAGCGCCCGCTGCCACTGCTCGCCCTTCTCGCACGCGCTGGCCCCAGCGCTGTAGCTTACAGGGGCTGACCCGTGGCCCATCGGCCACGGAACGTGTCAGAGATGGCACGCTGAACCAGGGCGGTGATGTTGCCGAAAGGCTTTCGTGATGGCGTAGGCCACGAGTTTCGCCGCTGCCGTTGCCGCCTGCGGCACGCTGCTGCTGCTGCTGCTGCTGCCTGTGTTCGCTGTGCTGCCGCTACCTGCTGCGGACTGCTGCTCTGCGCTGTTGAAGGGGCCCCAGGACATACAAATAAATACACACATATAAAAATATGCACCATATTTTCCCATATTTCCTGGGTTTGTGTCTTCCCCAAACTTCCCATGGTTTCCCATATTTTCTTGGGAATGGACAATTAATTGTGTCTGTGTTTTTTCCCTACCTAGGCTCTGCCTAGAGGGTTCTTGCTCTCTTAGCTTAAAGGGGCCGGGCAGTGCAAAGCGCCCCGGGCGGTTCCCCCAGTCCCCGCCCCGCGGTTCCCCCAGTTGCGCCCCCTGGGTTCACCCAGCTTAGCTTAGCTTCAGCTTAGCTTTAGTTTCGCTTTAGCTTAGCTTTAGCTTAGTTTCAGCTTAGTTTTAGCTTAGCTTTAGCTTAGCTTTAGCTTAGCTTCAGCTTAGCTTGAACTTAGCTTTAGCTTAGCTTTAGTTTCGGTTTAGCTGAGTTTTAGCTTAGTTTTAGCTTAGCTTTAGCTTAGCTTTAGCTTAGCTTCAGCTTAGCTTTAACTTAGCGTTAGCTTAGCTTCAGCTTAGGTCCAGCTTAGCTCTAGCTTAGCTTTAGCTTTGCTCTAGCTTAGCTGCAGCGTAGCTTCAGCTTAGCTCTAGCTTAGCTTTAGCTTAGCTCTAGCTTAGCTTCAGCTTAGCTCTAGCTTAGCTTCAGCTTAGCTTTAGCTTAGCTTTAGCGTAGCTCAAGCTTAGCGTTAGCTTAGCTTCAGCTTAGCTCTAGCTTGGCTTTAGCTTAGCTCTAGCTTAGCTTTAGCTTAGCTTTAGCTAAGCGTTAGCTTAGCTTTAGCTTAGCTTCAGCTTAGCTTTAGTCTAGCTGTAGCTTAGCGTCAGCTTAGCTTCAGCTTAGCTTTAGCTTAGCTCTAGCACAGCTTCAACTTAGCTTTAGCTTGGCTTCAGCTTAGCTTTAGCTTAGCTTCAGCTTAGCTCTAGCTTAGCTTTAGCTTAGCTCTAGCTTAGCGTTAGCATATGTTCAGCTTAGCTTTAGCTTAGCTTGAGCTTAGCTTTAGCTTAGCTTTAGCTTAGCTGTATCTTAGCTTTGGCTTAGCTTTACTGTTACTACTAATGCTGCTTTCCTAAGGGGCTCCAACTCCTAGGTAGGGTCGCACTGGGATAATTTTCTCCTCCTTGACTGCTGCTCTTCGCTGCTGCTGCTGCTGCTGCTGCTGCTGCTGCTGCTGCTGCTGCTGCTGCTGCTGCTTAAGGCTGCAGAGTGCTGCTCCACGGTGCCCGTGCTGGAGGACGCAAAAACCTGCAGCTCGCGAGCAGGGCGGGGAGCGGAGGCGAGGAGCGAGGGCGCAGCGTCGTGGGGGGGGGGCGGTGGCCGCCCCCCCCCACGACGGAGCGAGGAGCGAGGGCGGAAGCGAGGAGCGATCGGCGAGGAGCACGGAGCGGGGAGGGAGGAGCGACGGCCGAGGAGAGAGAGAGAGAGAGAGAGCGAGGAGCAGGAGCCGAGAAAGCGAGAGAGAGAACGAGAGAGAGAGAGGCAGAGCGAGGCGAGGAGGGAGGGGTCGGCCGGCGCAGCAGGAGCGCGACGGCAGGTCACACGGTGTGGCAGAGCCGCCTCTGCGCGAGGAGGGGCAGGGGGCAGAGCCGAGGAGGGGGGGCGGCGGGCGCCCAGCTGCCAGGAGGGGAAAAAGGCGAGGGGCCAGGAGGGGGGGAGGAGGAGGAGGAGGAGGAGGAGGAGGAGGGAGGAGGAGGGGGGAGGAGGAGGAGGAGGAGGAGGAGGAGGAGGAGGAGGAGGAGGAGGAGGAGGAGGAGGAGGAGGGAGGAGGAGGAGGAGGAGGAGGAGGAGGAGGAGGAGGGGGAGGAGGAGGAGGAGGAGGAGGAGGAGGAGGAGGAGGAGGAGGGGGGGAAAAGAAGGAGGCGGGGGGAGAGCGGAGGAGCCAGGAGCGAGGCGAGGGGAGGCGAGGGGGGAGGAGAGGGCGGGGAGCCAGGAACGAGGCGCGTGAAGGGAGGAGCAAAAGGGACGAGAGAAGAGGCACGAGAAGGTGCCAGCACACGCATGTCTCCATGGCTTCGGCGCGCGTGTGGCCGCACATCGCCTTCGCTCAGGGGTGTTTTGCACCACCTGGCAGGTCGGTGTCGTTAGATTTTAACAACAGACCTCCCGGCTCCCCTGCCCTACAGACCGCGGCCGCCAGATCCCAAGGCTCCCAATAATCCCGGGGGGTCCCGCCCCCCCTCCCGCCCTGCATACCGCGGCCGCCAGGTCCCCCTGCGCCGACTCGCCCACTCTGCATGCCGCGGCCGCCAGATTCCCGGGTCCCCCACAGAACAGAGCATACCACCACACCACCGAACAGAACATACCCGAGCATAAGAAAACATTCATGACATACCATATCGTAACATAGCACACCATGACAGAGCAGCGTATACCATAACACAGCATCACATCACGTGTCACCCCATCAAATGATACAGCAAGCATACCATAACAAATCAACACAGAACTCAATATACCCTAACATCATATGTCACACCATCACATAACATGGCACAGCATGTCGAAACACAACACAGCACAACAACGCATGCTATGACGGATCGGAGCGTACATAACATGGCATAACATTACATAACAGAGCAACACATAACATGGCATACCACTGGCCGAGGCCACCGCGCCACGCGCACACCGTTCCAATGACCGCGCACACACCTTCGGAATCAAACGCCGGAGGTTCCGGTGGGCATCGCTCGAAGCAAAATGGTTATGTTCGGCGGCCTGCGCGGTCACATAGCTCCCGAGGGGATCTTCCCTTGGAAGCCCCTGCGAGGCGGCGTTTGGGGTGTCTTGGGGCTTATCGGGGTCCCCAGTGGGGCCTGATTTGAGCGTCTTAGAGGCTTCTCGGGGGTTTCTGGGGGGCCTCTTGGCCTGCTGGCGGTTTCTGGGGTCATCCTGGAGCAGAAGGCGCTCAATGTCACTTCGTGAGCCGTCGTGGGCCGTCTTGGGGCCCTCGTGGGCCCTCGTGGGCCGTCTTGCGCGCCTCTTGGACCGTTCTGGGGCTCCCTTGGGCCGTCTTGACGCCCTCACGGGGGCCCCCGAGAGTGTTTCGGGGGAGTTCGGAGAGCGATGGATGAAGAGGCGGAGGAAAAGGAGAGGGGGGAAAAGGGAAGCCAGATGGCGAAGGATACGGATGAGCCCGAAGACGCATCGTTCCCCGGCCTGCCGACCAGCAGCAAAACACCCGTAGAGAACCGGCTGGAACAACCAGGGCAGCGCACTCACGACGGCAAGGTGAAGGAGAGAGGGGGGGGAAAGCAGGGACAGCAAGGGGCAGCTCCTCGGAGGGGGGAGGGGGCCTCGCAGGGGCCCGCCCGGCCCTCTTGCGGCCTGCCTGCCAGGCCGCCCCGGCCCAACCCGAAGACCCGCACGGGACCCGACTTTCGAGTTGGGGGAGGGGGGGGGGATGCGGGTTCCACGTGTCTTTGCAATGTTCCCCCGACCCCCCCCCCCCACTGGAGATGGAGGGCACGCTGGAGCCTTGGGGTTGGGTCGGCGCGGCTTGGTGGGTGGGGTGAGCTCGGGGCATGTCCCCCATGCAGGCGGTTCTTGGACGAAACAATAAAGACTACCCAAACATGCTCAAGCATATGTTTGAGAGACTACAGCACGACGAGCAAGGCAAAACGAGAGACTGTGAGATATCAAGAGAAACATGCGCAAGCAACGAAAAGAGAAATTTACCCATAAAAGGTCGCCCCCAGACGAATCATGTCTCGACTATTATTTCTGCACCCTCCTCCTGCAGAGGGGCCAGGCCCGACTTCTTGCAGGGCCGGGGCGGCACGAGACGAGGCCCGCACACGAAGGCCCCTCCACGGCCCCGGCGCGCGCGCGGCCGGGCAGCCGCCCCCCCCCCCCCCGGGGCCGCCCACGGGGCGGTCGGCCCCAGAGACCCAGCGCGCTGAATCAAAAGTCAAGGCGTAGGATTGTTCGCAATGTGGGATGACGATTAATCAAAAAAATTGGGGGGAACGATTAAAAACATGTTTCCTGCTATTTCTGCACAATTTTCTGACTGGAGGAGAACGATGAAAAGAAATAGTTTTCCAGCCCGCGGCCGGTTTTTTCTAATCGTCATCCCGGGCGCCGCCGCGTGAACACGACCCCCGGTCATGTATTCATCGTGATCCTCCATTACAGGGCAGTTCTTAATACATAGCAATTTAAAACATATAAGATTTTAATACATGGTTATAATGTATGAATAAATTAATGCATGAACTCATCGTTGTTTTCAATACTAACTCCCGGTATTTTTAGTATATCATCCGCAAGCGGAGCATGTATAAAAAAACGGCAGTGTATGCTTCGGCCCCTTTCGGGGCCCTCGCCGGGACCCCCGGGGCCGCCACACAGAACGACCCGGGAGGAAACACCGGTGTCGGGGAGTGGGCTGAGGTTTCCGGGGGGGGCCCAGGCCTCCGTGCCTCTCAGGGAGGCGGCGGTTGTGTGGGGTGCCCTGGGCCTCACGAGGCCCTCTTGGGCCTGACGTGGGCCTCCCGCGGGCTTCCTCTGCGGCTTCCTGGGGGTCTGCTGGCGGTCTCCTGGCTTTCTTGGGCAGTCTCGGGGGCATCCTGGGCCGTCGGGACCGTCCTGGCGCCTCTTCGGCCGTCCTTGGGCCCCGCTGGGCCGTGTCGGGGATGTGCCCCGAGACCCGCAGGGCTGCAGGAGCTGCCCTGGAGGGCGCGTTTCAGCCTCGCAGGGCCTCTCGGAGGGAAAATGGGGTGATTGATGCGCAATACCTTCTCGCAGGGAGAGGTTCCGGCATTGTACAAGAGATGACGCTGGGCTCCAGCTTCGCCTCCCACATCTCGCTCAGCAACGCCAGAGCCCGCTGCCACTGCTCACCCTTCTCGCACGCGCTGATTCCAGCGCAGTAGCTGACTAGAGCAAACCCGTGAATGAAATCCACGGTGTGCTGAACCTGGGACTCGCACGTCGTGAGTGAACAGCTCGTCGAAGTTGAACAGCTCGGGCGTCCTTGTGGCCGTGTCGGGGGCATGTTGGGCACTCCTGCGAGCCTTCTTGGGGCGTCTTGGAGGCCTCTTGCAGTTGTGGGGCGCCCAGGGGGCCGTTCCCGGGCTGTCCCCCCGAGCCTCTTCTGGGGGACAGCCCGGGGAATGTCGTGTGCGTGCGTGCTGTGAGGCTGCTGTCAGAGGGTCCCCCCTGTCACTCCCGAGGTGACCTGCAGCGTCTGCTGCAGGCTCCGGGAGCCGGGGCCGGAGGCTGCCGACGAAGATCCTATAGGGGGGGTCTGCGCCCTCCCGGAGGGGTCCAGGAAGGGACCTCGTGGTCTCGGGACTGCCTCGGACGCTGCCGAGGGCTCCGCTCGGCCGCGGGGGGGGAGCGGGATGCTGGTCCCCGCGGCGTCTGCAGGCTCCTCCTCCTCCTCCTCCTCCTCCCCCTCCTCGTCCTCCTCCTCCTCCTCCTCGTCGTCCTCCTCCCCCTCCTCTCCTCCTCACCCTATGCCACTCCTTCTAGTTGTGACCCCGTCGTAGAGAGAGGGCGAGCGACCGAAGTGGCTGCAGGTCCCCCTGGCACCCCTAGGAGGCGGAGTTGAGGCCCCAAAGCGGTCGGAGCCTCGATGAGGCAAGAAGAAAAAGACCAGAGGCCCCCTGTCACCCCTAATCGGCCGTAGGGGGGAGGTCTTGAGGGCGACTCTGGGCCATCTCGGAGTGGTCCCGGGATCGCTCTTGGGAGCTCCGTGGGAAGAGCGGGAGTCTCTTCCTGGGCATCTCGTAGTGGCCCTGGGACCGCTCTTGGGAGCTCTGTGGGGACTATCGGAATCTCTTGGGAGGCTCTGAGGCATCTCAGGTTGGTCTGGGGCCTGCCTTGGGGGTCTGGGGCTTTCTTGGGGGTCATTGGGGGTTCGAGAGACTGCGAAAGGTTGCCGTGGCTCGAGACATTCTCCTTGGGACCTCCTTGGGAACCATCGGAGTCTCCTGGAATGTTCTGGGGCATGTGTGAGTGGTCCTTGGAGGATTCTTGGCCCATCGGGGGCTGCGGGAAAGGCGTCGTCTGGGCTCCCTTCGGCCCCTCTTCGAGCCCCTCTTCGAGCCCTCGTGGTGGGTCTATCAAGACCCTCCACAGGCCCTGTTGGCCCGTTTCGAAGCTTTCTTGGACCGTCTCGGGGGCATCTTGGGCCGTCCTGGGGCTATATAGGGGGTCTCTGGCCCTCTTGGAGCTCTCTTTGGTGCCTGTTTGGCAGCTCCTGTGGCTCTCTTGTGGCTGCATTGGGAGCCACCAGGGGCTCTATAAGGCTGTCTTGGGCTTCTCCTGGGCAGTCTTCGGGCCCTCCAGGGCCGTCTTGGGGCACTTGGTGGGGCCTCCTGGACCGTCTTGGGGCGATCTGGGCTGGCCCTGGAGCCGTCTGGGACCGTTCTTGGCCCGAAATGGCGAGAACATGAAAATCCTGGACAAAAACCAAATGTATGATGTTGGCCTCAAGGGACCGTCGTCATCGGGGTCCGTTTAGCCCGTTGTCCGAGGCACCTGGCCAGTCGTCTGGCCGTCTTGGACTGTCGTGGGGCTCCGTTCGGGTCCTCTTGACCGTCCTCGCGCGCTCTGGAGCGTCTCCGAGCTGCCTTGGGGTTGCCAGAGGCCGTCCTGGGGCCACCGATGGCCTCTTCCGTGCCGTCGGAGAGCGCCGGGGCGCTTCGGGCGCTCTGGAGCAGCTTTCCACTACAATGCCTTTTCGCCCGCGCAACGCCCAGAATTGTAGTACAGATGACGTTGGGCTCCACCTTCGCCTCCCACATCTCGCTCAGCAGCGCCAGCGCCCACTCCCACTGCTCGCCCTTGCCGCACGCGCTGATCCCAGCATTGTAGCTGACTAGTGTGCACCCGTGGATTAAATCCACGGTGTGCTGAACCTGAGACGCGCACACCGTGTGTGTGAGCCGGCGAAGGCGTAGCAGAACATAGCATCGGAGCCGAACAGCTCCTCGAAGATCTGGTCCGTAAAGCTCCTTGGGGGGTGGGATGGCAGGGATGGAGGTGGAGGCGGGAGGAGAGCAGATAACGGGATTAGGGGCGCTTGACTGCGGCGTTCTCGTGCCGCAGGCCACGCTCTGGGTCGGATCGTGGAACAATCACAACGGGTCTGAAATTCGTCCTCGTGGCTTGAGGGCTGAAGGGTTTTGGCCAGTACGGTCACTCCTTGTGTCCACGTCCGGACGAAGCTCGGAAACCCTGTGGGTTGGGGCCCTGGGAGAAAGAAGGGCGCGTGTTTGTATGGATAGTGGCAGAGCTGCGACTTCGTGAAGAGATGCTGGAGAAACTGGACCCTCGAGGTTGCCCATATCCGTGGATGGAGGGCGTTCGTGCTACACCCCGTGGAAAAGCAATGCAACTCATCTCTAAATGCGTCCCAGGACCCCTCCCTGTGTCCATCCGGCGCAATTGTCCGCCCCGGGTCTGTGCCTCAGGGGCCCTGGGCCCGGAAAAAGCCCCGAGAGGCCGAAGTCTGCGGAAAACAAAAACGGGTGAAAAAAATCCACCAAAAAAGGTGCAGTGTTTTTTCGGCCGTCAGTCCATGTCTTCAACAGCGGCTCTCCGAGCAGGTGAGGACGTCACCGGCGGAGGCGAAGAGGGCGCAGAGGGGACGGGAAGGGTCAGATCGGGGATGACGGCGAAGGAATGGAGAGAGGAACGGCATGTCGGACGATGCGGCGGCAAAGGAGATGGCGCCAGTGGTTCAACCACCAATGTCCCCGACGTTATCGGGCGTTCCTGCGCGGTTCGGCGTGTCTCGCATAGTCTCTGGGACGGCTGCACGTCCCCAGACGTGCCGGGGACTTTCGCGGGGCTCCTCACCAAGCGCCGAAGACGGTCAAAGAGCGCCTCAAGACTCTGAAGATGGCCCCCAGACAGCTCTAGAGGCTTCCAAGATGACCCAAGAGGCCTCCAAGAGACTTCCCAAGTGGGCCTCACGAGGCAAGAGTAAGAGCTTGTCCATACGTTGGTACAGCTATTTGGGGTTCGAGCTTTTTGGGTCCCATCGCTCTAAGACGGCCAGGACCGCTCCAATATTGGTCCAAGACCGCCCAAGGCCCGCAAGACGGCCCACGATGGCCTCATGACAGGCAAACATTGCCAGAAGACGTGACGCAGAGGCCCCAAGAGGGATCGATGGAGAGAGTCCCAGGGAAGCTGCGGCCCGAAAAAAATTATGTGCTTCGAGCGATCCCCACCATCCTCTTCTTCCTGCTCTTCCTCCCGCGGAGTATGATCACCTGCTGCTCGTCGGGCGAGAAGGCGGCGTCGTGCAGCCGGTCCTGGTGGCCCGACAGCGTGGCCGGTCCCAGGGAGCACTGGGACAACTTGGGGTCTGGCGGCCGCGGTATGCAATGTGGGGGTGTGGCCGGGGGGTCTGTTCTGAAAAATCTAACGACCCCAACCTGTCGGGTGGGGAAGAAGGCGGATGTCTTCTGTCATGCTCTGTTCTGGTATGTGCTGTTCTGTCATGTTCTGTCATGCTCTGTTCTGTTCTGTGATGTTGTGTTCTGTCGTGTTCGTCATGTTCTGCGCTGTCATGTTGTATTCTGTCGTGTTCGTCGAGGGCGCGAGGCGGGATGGGGCGGGAGCCCCAGGGAGCACTGGGACAACTCGGGGTCTGGCGGCCGCGGTATGCAGGGTGGGGGTGTGGCCGGGAGGTCTGTTCTGAGAAATCTAACGACCCCAACCTGTCGGGTGGAGAAAAACGTTGGATTCACGATGCGCTGTCCCGTGTGTCCCTTGCAATCGCCTGAAACGCATGGTGTTTTCGAGAATTGCCATAACCTGTCGTATTTGCAAAGTGCTTTGGACGATGCGGTCGGCACGGCGCCAGCAGCGAAATGCGCATTTTCCTAATGTGTTTGGGCCGATTTGAAAGGACACACGGGGAAAACGTTGGGTTTCGGAGGTATGTGCGGCGACGTCATGGACGGGCCCATGTGGAAGCTTTCAAAGCGAGCGGCGGTCCATGTGGGAATGTCGCGGGGCTCTAGGGAAAGTCGTGGCGGGCCCAAAGATCGCCCGCCCTGGTAGAACGCACTCGAAATGTTCCAAGAGAACTCGGAAATGATCTCCGGAGAGCTCCAAAAGTCAGAAGAAACCCCGAAAAGCATGTGGGAGAAAGTGCCCCACCGCCAAGGCACGTTGGCGGGGTGCGCCGAAGGCCAGTGTTTTCAGCACATGCGATTTGTCAACGTCGTTCAGGCTCTACGCGCGCGGCCGGATGTCGAGCAGTGGGTACGCGGTGGGATGTCTGCGCAGGAGCTTCTGGAAGTCGCTAAGCTCACAGAGTACAGGCTCCGCAACACTACGTCCATCACCGGGTGCGCTGTCCAACTTCCAGATTCGGCCGGACACAGCCTTCACCGCAATCCAATGTGCGTTGTTCTGGTTTACCACGACCCCGACCACGTTAGGCGCAAAAATGTTCATCGCGTCCTGTGGTAGAACGGGAGCATTGAGGTTCAAGGAGAAACTGTTTCCGCATCGTTGAAGCACAAACGCCAGCACCGCCTCGGAATAATCTCCAGAGGGGCTCATGTGGTCGCGCAGGCGCTGTGGGAGGCCGTCTAAAGCGGCATGCTCGATGAATGCATGGGCGGATGCCTCCATGGTCCCCTCGTCGAGCAGCGCGAAGCCCAGGGCGTTGTTGAGCGCGTGCATGCCGCAATGGGCGCCGCGCTGCCGCTCGAAGAATCCGGTGAATCGCTCCCTCTGCTTCGATGAGCTGGCGGCCTCGCATCGTAGCTGTGTTGAGGGCATGGGGTCGGCGGAATCTGCACTGGGATTGTCGTTCTCTGTGGCTGCGCATGTTTGGAACAGCGTCTCAGGAGGCGCTGGGGCGTCCACGACTTCTCCGCGCAGGCGCAGCGGTGCGAGGACGACGTTAGCAGAAGCATCGTCTGGGGGCGCCGGCCCGAACTCATCGATGTCGTCTGGCCCGTGGTCCCGCGCGAAGCGTCGCGGCCGAGCAGCGGGGCTCGGCGGCGCCTCGGAGCCCTCGTCCAGGAACGCCGGTGCGTCGTCACTGCTGGAAGCGGCGCCCGCGAGCGGCATCTCTGTATCTGCGCGCGCGGCGGGGTGGGCAGGCGATGGCGCTGGGCGGGGGTGGCTCAGGAGCGCTTCTGGCCAGACGACGTTCTTCGTGTACGTGCCAGTGGGATATGTATCCGAAGCTTCCCGCGCTCCGTGTTCGTCAGTGGCGGGGACCAGTGCGAGGATGCGGTTGGACGCCCCGACCCGGCTGAAGGCCACGTATAGCTGGCCGCGGGAGAACACGGGGTCTGGCAAGTACAACCCGACGTGCTGCAACGTCTGTCCCTGCGCTTTGTTTATTGTCATGCACCATGCCAGCCGCACGGGAAATTGGAAGCGACGCAAGATGAACGGCAAGTCCGGGTTCCGAGGCGCAAGGGCGATCTTGGGAATGTATGCTCTGGTGCCCGCTTGTGTGCCAGACGCGAGGAGCACGTCGAGGACCCGGGGCTGCGCGCGGACGACGATGGCGCGAACTCCGTTGACCAGGCCCGCGTCGGCGTCTAAATTTCTGAGCAACATGACCAGGGCCCCCGGCGCGAGCGCGAGCTCGTGGGGCGGCAGTCCAGACGGCGTGAGGCTGTTCAAGAAGTCCGTCGGCCAGAGGTCCCGCTCCGCCGGCGACGCGGCGTCCACGTCGTCCACGCTGTAGTACGTGACGGTCGTGTCCGGGAAAGCTTCGCGCAATATAGCGACGTTCGCTGAGTCGGCCGTCGCGTTCTTCGGAGTGAGAATCGCCCTATCGCAGAAGTACTGCAAGTCTTCGGCGGCCACGTCGCCCCCGACGCACCTCGCCGCTGACGCAGCGATGTCGGCGTAGATGGCGCGCGCGAGGTCCTCCGGCCCCCAATGGCTGGGGGCGACGATGTTGTCGGGCAGGCGCACGGCCTCGGGGTGGATGTCCGGAAAGGTCGGTGCGCGGCCGTCTCCGATGTCCAAGAGGAAACGCTGCCAATCGGCGTCGCCCCTGGCCCGCATGTTCTCCGTCAGGGCGTGGACCTCCACAGCGCCCGCGCGCCACAAAGGGTGGTTCAGCAGCGAATGCTGAACGAGGTCTTCGCGGGCAACCCGTGGGATGACGGGGAGCACCTGGCGGAAGTCGCCGCCGAGGATCACCACCTTGCCGCCGAATGGCGCGTCCGTCTGGGTAACGTCTCGCAGCAGTGCATCGACGCATTGCAGTGCTCCCCGAGGGGCCATCGGCGCCTCGCCCCAGAGGATGACTCTAGCTCGTCGCAGGATTTCGGCGCGGCTCGTCTGGAACCCGATGTTCGAAGCGACGTCGTCCAAGGGCAGCGGCACTGGTAGTCCGAAGCGGGAATGGCATGTGCGTCCCCCTGGCAGGAGGACAGCAGCGATCCCGCTCCAAGCGCACGGCAGGGCGATCTCTCCCATGCCACGCACGTGGTGGAGGATGGCCTTGTACACAAAGGTCTTGCCCGTGCCGCCGGGGCCGTCGATGAACACGGCGAGCGGACGGGCTCCGATGACGGCGTCGGCGACCTGGTCAAACACGATCGCTTGCGCGTCGTTCATCATAGACCGATGGGACCGCGCAGATGTCCATTCCTCTTCTGCGTCGTAGGCGGTTTCCCTACGAACATCTCGGGGCTGCAGGCCCGCGACGTCGTGGTCCGTGGGCGTTGGCAATCCGAAGTCCGTCAGCGTCTTCCCAGCCTGGCTGAGTGCCTCTTGAACGTGCAGAAGCGCTGCGTTCTCCGAGTCGGTCTCGCTGAGGTGCCGCTGGAAGTCCTCGCAGAGGTCATTCGCGAATCGCTGCCACAAGGTCACGGGGGAGGCGAGCTCGCAATGGAGGAGCAACATGGCGAAGAGACGGCGCAGCGCTGGGGCGCTCCGTAGGCGAGCGGCCTCCTCCATGCAGCGGGCGTACTCGTCGCTGGAGTTCGCAAAGCCTTGCTCCTCGCATGCTCGCCGGTAATCTGGCACGTCCGAGTTCTCCCACGTGGAGGTGTCGTCGTTCCATCGCCGCTGGTAGAATGTTTGGCGATTGCCGTCCGAATGGACGACGGTGGCGAGGTCCGAGAAACTGGCGGGCCCAGTCACGTGCAAGAGTAGTCCGCGAGCCCGAGGCGCGGGGCCCCGGGCGGCGAGAGTGGGATCCCAGATTGCGCCGAGGGGGATGGGGGTGGGTCGGGTACGGGGATCGTGGACCTTTGAAGGCAGAAGAAAGCGTGCGTCGCGTGCCTGGCGCAGTCGCGAAGCGAGCTGCATAGATACAAATACCATCTGGGACCTTCTGTCGGCGTGGCAGTGGCCAGACGCCCGAGTACTCGTCCAGCTGAACCAGCGCCCCGCCTGCGTTGCCAGAGTTTCCTGCTGCGGTTCCAGGAGAAGAACTGCGGCACCTCGGCGTAATGCAGCGAGCGAGCCGGAGGCGTAAATCCGTCGGGCGGCTCTGCGTTCAAGCGGAACCACGCCGTCAAGGTGGTCTCGCTGCCCGCGGCCACAGCGGCCGCCTCGGACCCGTCCTGGAAGTATATCGTCTCGCCGCCGCGCAGGTGCACGGCCAGGCGTTCGACGGTGTGCGATTTCCCATGCAAGGGGAACGCCAGCAAGCGCCAACAAGCTTCTGGAGGCCCCACGTACCGAGCGTCGAGGAAGTGCTTGATTTCGTCGCCGTCGAATTCCAGGGCGGCCCGGTCGTGCCCTTTGTGCACGTACTTGAAAAGGTACTTGACGCAACGGATGCTGCCACAGTACTCCACGTTGAGGTGGCACCCCAATTTTCTGGACAAGTACGGGTTGTACGGCACAACGTCTCGGGCGTCGACCTGCATTCCATTCTTCATCGCCGTCGGCGACGACTTCCGTCGTCGGTGCACTGGGTACCCGTCTCTGTGCATGTCTGTGGTCTCGGTGAACTCCCGCGGGTACCGCTTGGTGCACGCCCCCTCCTGCATGCACGGAGCGCGCGGATTGCGGCAGCCGCGCGGACCGTGGATTTGGGAAGCCAATATGATTCTCAATAACTCTGACTGCTCCGGGTCCGCTGGATCAGGCAATTCGGCGCTGATGCGCTCATCGATGTCTAGGGCCGACCTGGGCTTGTCGGAAGCTTGCATTATGATGAGGAGGTGCACGTGCGGGAGCCCCCGTTTTTGGAACTCCACGACAAAGCAGTTGGCAACTACACCGCCTAGCACCCTCTCTCGCAACAGGAGATCCAGCAGATGCTGCATCTTGGTTCGGAAGACGCGAGCCACGAGATCCGGGCGCCCTGCAGCACTTTCCCCCTCGCGCAGGGCCGTCTGAATCTCGGCCCAGTTCGGGTTCGCAGTCATGGTGATGAAGAAGTCGGGTTTCCCGAAAGCCCTCACTATGGACATGGCGTCGAGGTAATGCTGGTGAAGAGCGCGGGGTCCTCCCGGAAAGGTCGGAGGCAGGATGACCTTCCTGCCGACTCTCGTGTGGCCTTGTTGAAAAGCGTCGCTGTGGACGGCGTCGTGGAGGCCCTGGTACGTTTCCGCCCTAATGTCGCCCTGGTGCTGCGCGTACCACGCCAGACGGTTGCTTTCTGCTCGGCTCCGAGCGTCGCAGAGCCATGTCTGGAAAAGCAAGCCTGCAGAATGCGGCAGTGACGGCTGTGTCGTCGGCCAACGACCTTGCGCGGCATCGTCAGTGTCGGGCACGTAAACGCGGAGCATCAAGCGGTACGCGTAGAACTGGGCACACGTCAATGTCGTTTGAGAAGCTGTTTGGCGGCCTGCGTGTTGCAGTCCGTGGCGCCATCCCGGGTCCCCGCAAGGGAACAGCAAGGGGTGCGCCATGGGGTCGAGGTTTTCGTTTTCGGGCCATATTCTGATGACTTCTGTATCATCTAGTCGAGGCCACACAGCTAAATCCCGGGTGCCGTGAAGCACGCCGTCGGAGCTGCGGAACACCACGGCTGGCTCGTAAGTTTGGGGCTTGTTGTAGCGGCGCATGTCCTGGCCCTCCGTCTGGGAAATGCACAATTGCACGTCGGTGGGGTTGTGGTTGCGAACGATGTCCCGCATGTGTCGGAACTGGTGCACGTACGGGTTGACCCGGTCGAGCATGCGCTGCAAGTGCTCCACGATGTCGGCGTTGATCCCGGAATGATAAGGGTTGTCCGTGCGCGCCTTCACGGCCTCGTTGTGGTCGTACAGGTACACCTGGGCAAACGTGGGGGCGTCGCCGTCCCGGGGGAACAGGTAGCCCGAGTTGTGGTATACGGTGCCGTGGCAGATCACAACAGGTGGGCCGCGCCCTGGAGCCTGGTCTGCAAAGCAAGACGCCCCGTAGGACACGAAGGCGAAAGCGTGGTTGTACATCTTGAGGGCGGCTCGCGCTGCTTGGTGCGTTCGCGAAGTGCCCCGCAGAATGTCGAGTAGCTCTGGCGGGGGGCATGGCAGCGTCCGGATCTGGGCAGGAGTAATCTTGCCGTTCTGGCAGCAAATGCTGAAGTGCCCGAGCATGCTTGTCCGAGCGTTTGCTCGTTGCACCCGCTCTTCCTCGAAGTTGTGGGAGCCGCATTGGTCACAGACGCTCGCGAGGGCGCTCCCCTGGTGCGGGACGAAGAAGCTGTCCCTGTAGTCCGCAATAGATGCGACAGCGGGGCGTTCAGCACGAAGTATGCGGTCATGGGTCAAGCAATATCGAAGACCCGCGAAGCTCGCAACGGGAGGCGCAGCGCACCCCGAGGCCCAGGCGCACTTGGAGGGCGCCGCCGGGGAGGAGGCCCCGCCGGCCGGGCCATGGTCCACCGTGGTTCTGGGTATGGGTGGACGCTTGTAGGAGAAGCGTCGTCGCACGTGGTCGTGTGCACATGCGGCTGGGGGCGGCGGAACCAGGGTCGGCGCTCCGGGCGGCTGCTGTGGAGGAGGCCGCTGCGGGGCTGTCGCGGAGACCACCCGCGCGTGCAGGGGACAATAGAAAATGCCGGTCGCATGCGGCCTGGTCGTTGCGTCGGCGCCGCAGGGGCGCGGGGGAGTCGACGGGGGGATGAAAGTGCACCGTCGTCTGTGTTGGTTGTGCCACGACCACCCGGGTAAAGATTCCAGTCTGTTTTGCAGGTCGGCAGGCAAGAGCCGGACAACGGTAACGCCTTGTTGATCGTCGTGAAGCCCAGCGGCGCGGCGCGGAACAGAGTGGTACGCAGCGCGCTGCCTCTGGATCCACCCAGCAAGGCGCAGTTCTTCTGGCGATGTCGAGGACGTGCCCATGCTGTCCGGGAATGCGCCGCAGTGCGTGCGCAGCCACTCCTGAAGTCTCTGGTAATTGCTATCCCAAGACGTCTGCTCCGCGAACGTGTCCCATCCCGGCAGAGCGCGCAGGAGCTCGCACCGACGAACGGCAATGCCTGCATCGGAGGCCGGTGATCGGTTGTACAAACGGCGGCAGTTGTCTGCGAAGGTACGCAGAGACTTCTCTGTCTTGGAAGCGTTGTTCGCTCTCGTCGGGTACCGGTTGGCGTGCGCACGGAGCCAGTTACGCAAGCTGTCGTAAGACTGGTTCCAAACACTGTCCTTCTGACCGGCGCCCCACGGGATCCACCTCTGGAGCGCCTGCGCGCGCCCCTCAGTCAGCCGGCGCGAGCGCAGGAGGTGTTCCTGTTGTCGCGCCCACTTGTTCAGGCTCCTCTCCTCGAAATCTGCAGCAGCAGCTCCTTGTCGGGGCATCCGGCCGCGCTTTGCGTGCCATCGTTGCAGTGCATCGAAACGGGCGTCCCAATCGGCATCCCATGACCAGTGAGGGCACGCATCCAACGCGCGCACGTACTCAGGGCGCAGATG